GGGCGACAGAGTGAGACTCCAACTCAAAAAAAAAAAAAAAAAAAATTTTTAAATGAAGATACTTGAGGCTTAGAAAAATTAAGCAATCTGCCCAAGATCACACAACTACTACATAATAGTAGAGCCTTATTCTATAAACAAATAAACAAACAGAAGAAGAAACTGGGGTGAGACCCCCAGGGAAGGAATTTTTTTGAGAAGGAGGAGTTTCCCTCTGTTGCCCAGGCTGGAGGGCAGTGGCAGGCTCACAGCCACCTCAGCCTTGACCTGCTGGGCTCAGGCGATCCTTTTGCCTCAGCCTTCCAAGTAGCTGTAACTACAGGCATGCACCACCATACCCAGCTAATTTTTTAATTTATGGAAGAGATGAGGTCTCATCAAGTTGCCTGGTCTGACTGATCTCAAACCCGTGGGCTCAGGCAATCCTCTCACGTTGGCCTCCCAAAGAGCTGGGATTATAAGCATGAGCCCCTGCGCTCGGCCGAGGAATTTTTACTTTAGCCAGAGTCTCATTCTTTTGCCTAAGCTGGAATACGGTAGCACTATCATGGTTCTCTGTAGTCTTGAGCCTCCTGGGCTCAGACAATCCTTTCGCCTCACCCTGAGTAGCTGGGACTACAGGGATGCGCCATCATGTCTGACTAATTTTTTGATTTTTTTGTACAGATCAGGTCTCACTATGTTGCTCAGGCTGGTCTCCAACTCCTGTCCTCAAGTGATCCTCCTGATACACCCTCCCAAAGTGCTGGGATCACAGGTGTGAGCCACTGAGCCCAATCCCCTCCCACCCCTGCCCTCCAGCATGTCAAGTTGGAGAAGCCAATAAGAAACTCCAAAGAAAACACCACTAGGCAGTGGAAAAAAATCAAGAAAAGCTCAGATGTTGGGTCCAGAGATACCAACAGGAACTTTTCTGCACAGACATGACAGGCAAAGCTGTGATAGCATCTATCCTACATAAAGAACAGAGGAACAAAGAGAAAATCGGAATTGCCTGCATTTAGAAGGTTAGACAAAAAAACAGGAAGAGTAAAGAAGAGAACTGTGTTAGAGAAATACAACTTGAAAAAAAAAAAAAAAAAGGAAAAAAGCTGGGCACAGTGGTTCAGGCTGTAACCCCAGCACTTTGGGAGGCTGAGGGGAGAGGACTGCTGGAGATCTGGGGTTCAAGACCAGTCCAGGCAACTTTGAGAGGCCTCATCTCTATAATAAAAAAAAAAATTAGCTGGAAGTGGTGGCGTGTGCTAATAATTCCAGCTCTTTGGAAGGCTGAAGTAAAAAGGATGGTCTGAGCCCAGTGGGTCATGGCTGTGGTGACCATGAGTACGCCACTGCCCTCCAGCCTGAGCGACAGAGTGAGACTCCAACTTCAAAAAAAAAAAAAGGGTAAAAATAAGCACCGAAAAAGAACACACACACCAAAGTACATACTGCCTTAGAGCTTCTTGCACGTTAGTAATCCTCATCTTAAAAACAAAAATTCTCACATAATTTACCTTCATCTGCTAAAGCAGAAAGCTACTAAGATGATAACAGAGATGTCCGCGTTGGAGAATTTAGTCTAATTATTGCTTTCCCAACCTAGCTAATCGTTACATTACCTGGGATGCCGAGAAAACACGAGTTCTAGAATGATTTATTAGGTATGGGATGGCCAACATTTGGGATCCACTAGTCCAATATGTACAATTTTAGTACATGACTATAGTAAAAGTGGAATAACCATTCAACTGTTTCACAAGTACCCTGCCACAAGTTCTTAAACGGTTTGCACTATCACTGAAAACTCTTGACAGTAATGACTTCACTTATCCTGAACGCCCAAGTAATTCTGATGGTCAGTTTAATGTGGGAACTCCTGATCATGATAAAGGAGCCTCTAACTCTAAATTACATGGTATTTACCATGGTTTTGCATGACACCCTTAGGACAGACTCCCCCATTTTTCCTTATGCCACTATAAAGTTAACAGCCTTATTAAGTCACTAGTAAAATCTATATCAGATTTCTACTACTCGTTGACCTGCATCATAGTCTAATAACCACATTTTGCAAACATCTTGACTTTGTTATTCCAAAAAGTGAGGCAGTTTTATAATAGAAAATCCATTATCCCAATAGGCATATGGTTTTGTTAAAACTGTCTTTTAAAATACCTATCACCTAAATTCACCTTCATCTTTGCATGGTCAATTCCTTCTAGAAGCCTTTCTTGATACCCCAAGTTGAGGTAAGTTTTCCTTCCTTTGATAATTTTATTTGTGCCACTTTTACAGTAATCAATTTGTATCCCATAATATGTGGCACCTAGTAAAGCTTCAATAGATGTAAACTAAATAAAAGACTTTATCCCCTCTATTAGAGATAACCTATCTACTATAAGGAATATATGTGATTGATCTTTACAGCTCTCACTACGCCCAACTCCCTTAATTTGAAAACTATTCCACTATCAGGTGTTAGTTGTTAGTACCCTAATTATCTCTCTACATATACAACTATAATTAGTTTATACCTGCTTCCCCAACTAGACAATGTGCTTCTTGAAAGCAGGTACCATGATATACTCGTCTTTGTGTAAACCAGTTACTATCAATGACTGAAAACTTAAAAGTTTTGTTGAAAGAACTGTCCTCATCTTAACACTTTTTGAAAGGTGACAAGTTTTATGTTATCAATTGGTCAACTATAGTTGTAATACGGCTATTCAATTCAGTATCATACAAAGAAATTGCCAGCAATGTTTTCTCTGGTCGGGTAAATTACAAAATAATTTTACATTTTGCCTTACTTTTTGGCCTAGAAGAAAAAATGTCACCAGTAGGTTTGTTTTGATCACGTGCCCTCTCCGGGTGACCAAAGCCAGAAAAACAGAAAATCAACGTGAGAAATCTACAGTGAAGACACATCAAAATAACGCTCAGGAGATTCGTGTCACCTGGTTACGTCTGGAAGCCACTGTGCAGTTAGGCTGGGCCACTCCAGGGCATGGGTCATCACCAAATCATAAAGAAAAGGGGTATTCTTTTTCCATATTTTGTACTCCTCGTTGATCACACGTTCTTCCACTGCGTCGTCAAAGGCTGCTAAAATTTTTTTAAACGAGTAAGTTAGCACACAGAAACCGAGTAAACTCTGCAAAGCTACCGGCGTAATCCCTGCATCCTGACTCTGAAATGGAGGAGATTTGTCTAAATTTTCCTAAGCGAGGAGGCACCAACACTCCTCTCCTCCGTGGGGCCACAACTCCTCGGGTCATTCCAGCCAGACGCTCCGTTACGCTTCGGGGCCACAGCGCCAGGCCTTCGCCGCACGCTCGCGCGCGCAGAAAGCGCACGGCTCCGACGAGGCCCGAGCACCGAGTCAGGAAGGTAGGAAGCGGAGGGAGGCCCGAGAGAGGCGAGGAGACCGACGGAGACAGTGAGGAGGGACGAAGACCCGCAGGAGGCCCCCACCACTAGCTTCGCCCGCGGCGGACATCGCCACGGAGAAACCGGCGCGCCGTTAGCCCGCCCCGCGGGGAGCTCCCTCCTCACGCCTTCGATGCTGAGGGCTGCGCTCAGCAAGCAAGGCCTGCCCTCGCCGTTAGGCCATGTTGAGGCCGCAGCGCGGCCCCGGCACCCCCCGCCCTCCTGAGGCGGCCCCGGCACCCTCACCTTCCTTGTCGGCCATGGCGGGCAGGCGAGCCGGGGGAATCCCGGGGCTGAGCGTTGCGGGAGGGGCGGGGAGGCTGCGGCGCTCGCTCAGCGCGCGCGTCCTCTATTGTTTCCTGCGGCCCCTGCGTGAGGATCGACTCGCGCACCTTCGCGCCAACATCGGCCAATCGGAGCTGCCCAAGCCGCGGGGTGGGCGGGGAAGCCGAATCCGCGGCCTATCGAGACGCGCGGAATCGCTTTCCGCGGGGTCCCGGGGCGCGCGTTCCGCCCCTCCCCCCTCCCCTTTCGGAGCTGACTCCCAGCGATAGCGCGCGCGGGGGTTAATGGGATTGAGCTCGTCCAGAGTCACATGAGGGAGGCTTAGTTCGCACACTCCCGGGGGCGGCCATTTTCTTAAAGGCTGTGAAGCTTGCGGTCCCTTCAGAGTACTGAGATGAGAAACCAAGGATGCTTTCGGGTCTAATGATCAACTCTGGGGGCAAGGCAGAGAGAAGAGGCCTCGCCACTCAGAGGTGTTTAAGTCCAGGTGTCCCTCAACTTGCTTCCTTAGTCTTTAGAAAGAATTAGTGATGAAGTAAGCGCAGGCGATGAGTTTGAGATCTTCTAAAAACGTGATGCGAGCCGCAGAGCCTGGAATGGAAGTCTTGGCGCTAAAGTGAGCCCGCGAGCTCCGAGAACGGCGGTCTGGTCCTTTAAGCTCCACGGGGCGGAGTCTAGGGCGGAAGTAATAGGGCCGGGCTGGACTCCGGCAAATGAAAGGCGGAAGTTCCCAATTTTGCAGTCATGGCGCAGGAAGGGGAAGATATCAGAGATTACAATTTGACTGAGGAACAGAAGGCAATCAAGGCCAAGTATCCGCCAATCAATAGGAAGTTCGAGTGTGAGTAGGCAGCTCACTTCTCTCTTCAAATATGGGCCCACGGGCCTCTCTCTCTTTCCCCGAGGCTTCCTGCGGAGCCTTCTACTTTGCCCCATAGGTGCGTCCATCCCCATTGCGCCCTGTATTGTAGTGTCTTTTGCATTTGTTCTGGAGATGTTGCAGGAAAAAGCCTCGGGGTTTGATAGCCAAGAAGCTTCGGCTCCCATATTTAGTCTCGAGATGTCGCCCCTTTTGTATCTCACAACATTGGAATAGGATGTGGCCAGGTTAGAGGACTCGGAAAGCTAAATTGGGGATTTCTTTTTTTTCTTTTTTGAGTTGGAATCTCATCCTGTCACCCAGACTGGAGTGCAGTGGCACGCTCCCGGACCGCAGACTCAACCTGCTGGGCTCCGGTGATCCTTGCGCTTCAGCCTTCCAAGTAGCTGGAACTACAGGCGCGCGCTACCCCGCCCGGCTAATTTTTTTGATTTATTGTAGAGATGACGTCTCGCCAAGTTGCCCAGGCGGGTCTCGAACCCGCGGGCTCAGGCAATTCACTTACTTCAGCCTCCCAAGGATTACAAGCTGAGAAATTGGGAATTTCTAACTTGGTGTCTTACCGAGATTGTGTTAATAAAAATGGTTTTAGGCCGGGTCTGGTGGTTCATGCCTGCAATCCCAACAGTTTGGGAGGCGGAGGTGAGACGATTGCCTGAGCCCAGGGGTTGGAGATCAACCTGGGCAACTTGGCGAGACCTTATCTCTACAATTAAAAAAAAAATCAACCGGGTGTGGTGGTGAGCGCCTGTGAGTCCAGCCACTTGGAAAGCTGAGGTGGAAGGGTCGAGGCTGTAGTGTCTGTGAGCGCGCCACTGCATTCCAGCCTTGGTGTCAGAGACTCCGACTCAAAAAAAAAAAAAAAGAACCTGGTTTTGCCATTTATTACCTTAGAACTTTAGGCAAGTCAAATAACCTATATTTTTGTCTCAGTTCCTTCATCTGAAGAAAAAATAACAATGAACGTGAAACATACTGCAGATTCTTTTATTTGTATACTTTTGGTTTATTTGTTTTGTAGAGACAAAGGATTGCTATATTGACTAGGCTGATGTCAAACTCCTGGGTTCAAGTGATCCTCCCACCTTGGCCTCTCAAAGTGCTGGGATTACAGGTGTGAGCCACCATACCTGACCATAGTGCAGATTCTTTTTTGGCTTTTTTAAAGGATTTTATTAGCAATTGCTTACATTTTTTATTTTTATTTTTTGAGTCAGAGTCTCACTATGTTGCCCAGGCTGGAGTGCAGTGGCATACTCACGGCCACCACAGCCTCGACCTGCTGAGCTCAGTTGATCCTTCCAAGAAGCTGGAACTACAGGCACGTACCACTACGCCTGGCTAATTTTTTTTTATTTATTGTAGAGATGAGGTCTCATCAAGTTGCCCAGGCTTGTCTCGAATCCATGGGCTCAGACAATCCTCTCACTTCCGCCTCCCAAAGTGCTGGGATTATAGGCATGAGCCACCGTGCCTAGCCTAGGTTCTTAGGTTTTTTTTGTGTCTTATTCTTGTTACCCAGGCTGGAGTGCAGTGGCACGCTTACGGCCACTACAGGCTCGACCTGCTGGTCTTAAGTGATCCTTCTGCCTCAGCCTTTCAAGTAACTGAAACTACAGACGTATACCACCACACCTGGCTAGATTTTTTGTGATGTATTGTAAAGATGAGGTCTCACCAAGTTGCCCAGTCTGTTCTGAAACCCTCAGGTTCAAGGCACTGGCCTACATTCTTTCTTTTTTCTTTTCTTTTTTTGTTTTTTGAGTTGGAGTCTCACTCTGTCGCCCAGACTGGAGTGCAGAGGCAGACTCACACCTACTACAGCCTCGACCTGCTGGGCTCAGGTGATCCTTACGCCTCAGCCTTCCATGTAGCTGGAACTACTGGCACGCACCACCATGCTTAGCTAATTTTTCAATTTAATGTATAGATGTTCTGGCCAAATTGCCCAGGCTAATCTCAAACCCATGGACTTAGGTGATGCTCTCACCTCAGCCTCCCAAAATGCTGGGATTATAGGTGTGAGCCACCACACGCAGCTTTTTAAACCAATTTTTAAAAACTGAGGTAAATTTACATATTCCTTAGTAATGCTCAGACCTTAAAGTATAAAGTTCAACGAGTTTTTTTGTTTTGTTTTTTGTTTTTGGAGGTTGGAGTCTCACTCTGTCGCCCAGGCTGGAGTGCAGTGGCCGCTCCCGGCCACCGCAGCCTCGACCTGCTGGGCTCCAGCGATCCTTCCGCCTCAGCCTTCCAAGCAGCTGGAACTACAGGCGCACACTACCATGCCTGGCTAATTTTTTGATTTATTGTAGAGATGAGGCCTTGCCAAGTTGCCCAGGCAGGTCTCGAACCCACGGGCTCAGGCAATCCACATACCTCAGCCTTCCAAGGCGTGGGATTACAGACTGAGCCACCGAGCCCAGCTATATATTTTTTTGAGTTGGAGTCTCACTCTGTCACCCATACTGGAGTGCAGTGGCTGCTCTTGGCCACTGCAGCCTCGGCCTGCTGGGTTCTGGCGATCCTTCCGCCTCAGCCTTCCAAGTAGCCGGAATTACAGGCATGCACTACCACGCCCGTCTGATTTTTTTGATTTATTGTAGAGATGAGGTCTCACTGCCCAGGCAGGTCTTGAACCTGCGGGCTCAGGCAACCCACTCACCTCAGCCTCCCAAAGGCGCGGGATTACAGGCTGAGCCACTGAGCCCGGCCTAGTTCAACGAGTTTTGATAAGTACATACATCTGTGTAACCGACACTCCAATCAAGCTATAAAACATTTCCATTACCCTAGAAAGATTCCTTTTGCTTCTTTCCAGTCAGTCCCCACCCCCTTACTTCAAGACACTGTTGTGTTTTCTATCACCACAGCTTAATTCTGCCCATTTTTGAGTTTCATATAAATGGAACCACGCAGTAAAGATTATTTCATGTTTGGCTTTTCTATTCATGTCAGAGGTTAACACAGCTGGATGTTTGCTAAAGCAGTGAAAACAGGTTTACTACCAACAGTAGGGGAAAGAGCCAAGCACCATTCTGGTTTGTGCAGAGATAATTAGTCATTTTAAAGGGAGAGGAGAGAGCAAGGGCTCAGTAGAGTCAGAAGTGAAAAAGTACAAAAGGCTGGTCAGTGAAATGTGATTAGGCTAGCTGTGTCTGCAAGCTGACAGTTATCAAAGTTAGGATTCTGTCCTCCCACAGAGACTGGGAGACAAAGACCCCATGCTTCCTGATGGTTACATTTCAAGGGAATGGCTCTTGGGTCCTTGAGAAACACACTTCTGTTTCGTAAGAGATACATATTCACAATTGTAAGCTCTTTTTAGTACATGCTGTAAGAAAGGGAGGTCAGGGGCCCATGTCAGTTGTTGGCTAGAACAAACAGTAAATTCTCCTGGCCATGTTGTTTTTTTCTCAGGCAGGCATTTTAACAGGGACTGGGGAGTATTTAATTTAATTATTATTATTTATTTATATATTTATATATTTATTTTTTGAATTGAAGTCTCACTCTGTCACCCAGACTGGAATGTAGTGGCACTCTCCCAGCCACCGCAGCCTCGACCTGCTGGGCTCTGGTGATCCTTCTGCCTCAGCCTTCCAAATAGCTGGAACTACAGGCGCATGCTACCATGCCCGGCTAAATTTTTTTTTTTATTTATTGTAGAGATGAGGTCTTGCCAAGTTGCACAGGCTGGTCTTGAACCCGCAGGCTCAGGCAATCCACTCACCTCGGCCTCCCAAAGTACAGGATTACAGGCTGAGCCTCCGAGCCCGGCCTGATTTTATTTTATTTATTTATTTATTTTTTTGAGTTGGAGTCTCACTCTGTCACCCAGACTGGAGTGCAGTGGCTGCTCTTGGCCACCGCAGCCTTGACCTGCTGGGCTCTGGCGATCCTTCCACCTCAGCCTTCCAGTAGCTGGAACTACAGGCGTGCGCTACCATGCCTGGCTAATTTTTGATTTATTGTAGAGATGTGGTCTCGCCAAGTTGCCCAGGCGGGTCTCGAACCCGCGGTCTCAGGCAATTCACTCACCTCAGCCTTCCAAAGGCACGGGATTACAGCCACTGAGCCCAGCTAATTTTGTTTTTATAGATGAGATGTCTCTACTGTATATTGCCTAGACTGGATTTTAAACTTCTGGACCCAATTGATCCTCCTACCTCAGCCTCCCAAGTAGCTGGGACTGCAGGCATACACTCCCATACTTGGCTTAGGTTTTTAGTTTTCGGAAATAAAATTGTTGCCAACATTCTTATATGGCTTTTTGTGAACACACGTTTTCATTTCTCTAGGCTTAATAACTTTTTTTTTCTTTAGTTTGTGATCTCTGCTGGTCATTGAATCCCTTAGTGCCTAATATTTAGTAAGTTCTTAGTAATACTTCTGAGTGAATCAGAGATGAATTTGAGCCTCTGAATGCCACCAGAAGAGGATGTGATATGGTGCAAAGTGCACTAAACTGGGCGTCAGAAAACCTTAATTCTAGTCCCTCTGCCTCTAATCAACATCTCAAATTTCTTCTTGTAAGTGAAGGAATTATGTTGAACGATCTCCAAGAATTGCTTCTAGGTTTAATTGTCTATGATCCTAAGTGGAAAGAATTGATGGAAGTCATAATGCAGGTGAAGAAAAGACTCTGAAATGGGAGCATATTATAGTAGCATTGATTACTTTTTGGTTTTTCTGAAAGAATATCAGAAAAAAACTCATGATATATATATTGTGGAGTTTACTTTCTAAAATAATTTTATCTAGGATTAGGCTAGCTGATCATGAGAAGGTAAGGCAGAAATCGGGAATTTTATATCTTTTATGATATAGTTCTAGAATTTTGATCAAACCATAGATATTTAGAAAACATAGTAATATGTTGAGAAAAAGTAATTTTTTTTTTTTTTTTGAGTTGGAGTCTTATTCTGTTGCCCAGATTGGAATGCAGTGGCACATTCACGGCCAACCTAGTGTCGAACTGCTGGGCTCCAGCACCTCACCCTTCCAAGTAGCTGGAACTACTGGTGTACATTACCGTGCCCGACTAATTTTTTATTTATTGTAGAGACGAGGGCTCACCAAGTTGCCCTGGCTGGTCTTGAACCCATGAGCTCAGGCATTCCACTCGTCTTGGCCTCCCAAAGTACTGGGATTACAGACTGAGCCACCAAGCCTGGCTGAGGAAAAGTAATTAATAGAAGGAAATGAACCGGGCTCAGTAGTTCAGCCTGTAAACCCGCGCCTTGGGAGGCCGAAGTGAGTGAATTGCCTGAGCCCGTGGGTTCAAGACCTGCCTGGGCAACTTGGCGAGACCTCATCTCTACAATACGTCAAAAAATTAGACGGGTGTGATAGCGCACGCCTGTAGTTCCAGCTACTTGGAAGGCTGAGGAGGAAGGATCGCCAGAGCCCAGCAGGTCGAGGCTGCGGTGGCCGGGAGTGGCCACTGCACTCCAGTCTGGGCGACAGTGAGACTTCAACTCAAAAAAAAAAAAAAAAAAAAAAAGAAGGAAATGGCATTTGTTTATTGAGAAAGTATAGTAGAGACTTTTTTATTTTTCGATGTTTACAATGATAAGGTGACTTTTATTTATTTTGGATTCAGGTGGTACACATGTATGTTCACTGCATGGACATATTGTGCCCTGGTGGAGATTGGGTCTCAAGTAGCCCATTCCCCAGATAGTGAACATGTGCCTCATAGGTAGTTTCTGAGCCCTAACCCCTCTGCCTCCTTCCCCTTTATTGGTGTCCCCACTGTCTATTATTTCCATCTTTGTGACTATTTAGCTCCCACATGTGAGTGAGAACATGTGTTGTTTGGTTTTCTGTTTCGAGTCACTTAGGATAATGATCTCCAGCTCCATGTTGCTGCAAAGGACAGGATTTCATTCTTTTTTTATGGCTGCTAGATACTTTTTATGTCACCTAGAAGACCCTCACTCTGCTACCTTCCAGAAATTGTCATTCATTTAAACATGAAGCTTGGCTTTTTTATAAAATGACCCTAACAGGCTGGACTCAGTGGCTAAGCCTGTAATCCCAACATTTTGGGAGGCCGAGGCGAGTGGATTGCCTGAGTCCGCAGGTTTGAGACCCATCAGGGCAACTTGGCAGGACCTCGTCTCTACAATAAATAAAAAATTAGGCCGGGCTCAGTGGCTCAGCCTGAAATCTCACGCTTTGGGAGGCCGAGGTGCGTGGATTGCCTGAGCCCACGGGTTCGAAACCCGCCTGGGCAACTTGGCGAGACCTCATCTCTACAATAAATCAAAAAATTAACCGGGTGTGGTGGCGCATGCCTGTAGTTCCAGCTACTTGGAAGGCAGGCAGAAGGATTGCCTGAGCCCAGCAGGTCGAGGCTGCAGTGGCCGAGAGCGTGCCACTGCACTCCAGTCTGGGCGACAGAGTGAGACTCCAACTCAGAAAAAAGAAAAAAAAATTAGCCAGGCATGGTAGCATGTACCTGTAGTTCTGTCTACTTGGAAGGCTGAGGTGGAAGGATTGCCGGAGCCCAGCAGGTCAAGTCTGCGGTGGCCGGGAACATGCCACTGCACTCCAATCTGGGCGACAGAATGAGACTCCAACTCAAAAAAAAAAAAAGACCCTAACAAAGCAATTAACTTTGTTGAGTAAATGGATAGAAATAGGATGGGTTGCCCCACATTTTCTTGCTCTTTAAGGATGATGTTCTTAATAATAATTAACTAGAACTACTTTCTTATGGTTTGAGAGTCAAGTTTAGTAATTTGTTGTTTTTTTCCCCTCTCTCCCTCAGATTTGGATCATACAGCGGATGTCCAGTGAGTATAGCTGGAGTTTACTACTTTGAAACCATGTTTTTAAATAAGAAGTCGCCTGAGCCCACGGGTTCAAGACCCACCTGGGCAACTTGGCGAGACCTCATCTCTACAATAAGTCAAAAAATAGCTGGACGTGGTAGCGCACGCCTGTAGTTCCAGCTACTTGGAAGGCTGAGGCGGAAGGATTGCTGGAGCCCAGCAGGTCGAGGCTGCGGTGGCCGGTGGTGGCCACTGCACTCCAGTCTGGGTGACAGAGTGAGACTCCAACTCAAAAAATAAATAAATAAATAAATAAGAAGTCAGGCCAGGCGTGGTGGCTCAAGGCTATAATTAATCCCAGCACTTTGGGAGGCCGGGATGAAAGGATTGCCTGAGCCCACAGGTTTGAGACCAGCCTGGGCAAATTGGTGAGACCTCGTCTCTACAATAAATAAAAAAATAAGCTGGGTGTGTGCCTGTATTTCCAGCTACTTGGAAGGCTGAGGCAGAAGGATCTCCAGAGCCCAGCAGGTTAGGGGTGGTTGTAAGTGGGCCACTGCACTCCAGCCTGGGCAACAGAGTGAAACGCCAACTCAAAAAAAAAAAAGGCCCTGGTTTTACTTTTTTCCTCTCATTTCAGTTCCTTCACAACATGAAAATTATGATTTTACAGCACCTAGTTTTTGTACCTTAAGTTGACTGAATCTTTTTGTTTTGTATTTGTCATACTGCTTTTATTTTGGCTTTACTGTCAAGGTTTCTTTCTGGTAGTGGATTATATTACACAGCATGAATGTGTTTCTTTAGGTTACACGCATGGGGAGATACTCTGGAGGAAGCATTTGAGCAATGTGCAATGGCCATGTTTGGTTACATGACAGATACTGGGACTGTGGAACCCCTCCAAACCATAGAAGTAGAAACTGAAGGTAACTGCTTTACTCATAAGGGAAGAAATTGTCATACAAATATGCAGTATTTTACATAATATGAGTATATTTTCACAATAAAAACAGCAGCCGGGTGTGGTAGCTCACACCTGTCATCCCAGCACTTTGGGAGGCCAAGGCAAGCGGATTGCCTGTGCCCACAGGTTCTAGACCAGCCTGGGCAACATGGTGAGACCTCATCTCTACAATAAATAAAAAAAAAAATTATCCGGGTGTAGTGGTGCATGCCTGTAGTTCTAGCTACTTGGAAGGCTGAAGCAGAAGGATCATCTGAGCTCAGCAGGTCAAGACTTCAGTGGCTGTGAGCATGCCTCTGCACTCCAGCCTAGGCAACAGAGTGAGACTCCTACTTAAAAAAAAAAAGGCCAGGCTGGGGAACTCAGCCTGTAATTCCAGCACTTTGGGAGACTGAGGCGAGTGGATTGCCTGAACCTGTGGGTTCAAGACCAGCCCTGGCAACTCAGCAAGACCTCATTTCTAAAATAAATAAAAAAATTTGCTGGGCATGGTGGTGCATGCCAGTAGTTCCAGCTACTTGGAAGGCTAAGGTGGAAGGATCACCTGAGCCCAATAGGATTAGGCTGCGGTGGCCAGGGACGTGCCACTGCACTCCATACTGGATGATAGATACAGTGAGACTCCAACTCAAAAAAAAAAAAAACCACAGCAAAATTTATCATGAACCTGTATTTCCTCTTTCAAATAGTCTAAGAAATTCATTGTACTTTTATATTCAAAGCAGTTTTTAGATTCCAGATTTATTAAACATCATATTATTATTATTATTTTTTTATCTTGTGTAGGAGATGACTTACAGTCTCTTCTGTTTCACTTTTTGAATGAGTGGCTTTATAAGTTCAGTGCTGATGAATTCTTCATACCCCGGGTAAGCAAGGGTTTTTCTTCTTTACTGAGAAAATAGGTTCTTAGTTCACATTTTAAAATAGAACAAGTGATTTAAAATAGAACATGTGGAGCCGGGCTTGGTGGCTCAGCCTGTAATCCCAGCACTTTGGGAGGCTAAGGTGAATGGACTGCCTGAGCCCGCGGGTTCGAGATCTGCCTGGGCAGGCGAGACCTCATCTCTACAATAAATCAAAAAATTAGCCGGGTGTGGTAGCGCACACCTGTAATTCTGGCGACTCGGAAGGCTGAGGTGGAAGGATCGTCGGAGCCTAGCAGGTCGAGGCTGCGGTGGCCTGGAGTGGCCACTGCACTCCAGTCTGGGCGACAGAGTGAGACTCCCACTCAAAAAAATAAATAAATAAATAAATGAAATAAAATAGAACATGTAATTTGAAAACTAATCCATACATATATGTAAGACAATATTGATTTGCAGAAATTAAATGACCATAAGCACTTCCTGGTAAACTTGAGTCTGCCTATGTAATCCCGGGCTTGGTGGCTCAGCCTGTAATCCCGCACTTTGGGAGGCCGAGATGAGTGAATTGCCTGAGCCTGCGGGTTCGAGACCTGCCTGGGCAACTTGGTGAGACCTCATCTCTACAATAAATCAAAAAAATTAGCCAGGCGTGGTAGTGCACGCCTGTCGCTCCAGCTACTTGGGAGGCTGAGGCAGAAGCATCACCGGAGCCCAGGAGCTCGAGACTGTGGTGGCTGGGAGTGGCCACTGTACTCCAGTCTGGGCGACTGAGAGAGACTCCAACTCAAAAAAAAAGGAAAAAGAATTTTGAGGCCGGGCACGGTGACTCAAGCCTGTAATCTCAGCGCTTTGGGAGACTGAGGATTGCCTGAGCCCACAGGTTCGTGACCAGCCTGGGCAACTTCGTGAGACCTAGTCTCCACAATAAATAAAAAATTATCTGGGCATGGTAGCGCACCTGTAGTTCCAGCTACTTGGAAGGCTGAGGCAGAAGGATTGCCTGAAACCAACTGGTCAAGGGTGCAGTGGCCAGGAGCATGTCACTGTGCTCCAGCCTGAGTGACAGAATGAGACTCCAACTCAAAAAAAAAAGGAATTTCATATTTAGATTGCTGATCATGTCTATGTCACAATCAGGATTGTGTGGTAAGAACGCATACCAGTTGTCATCCATACTTTTTATGTTTCCCAAGTTGAGCTATATTTATGTCCATCTATTTGGTTTTTTTGTTCCATTTGAAATTTAGCAGCTCTGCCGCAATGGCTTAAGTTAAACAATTGCTTTTAGTTTTCCTTAATGTGAAAGAAGGAAAAGCCAAGTGTAGGTTGCTGCTGTCAACCTTTAGAAGGGAGCACCTCTCCAACATCAGTGTGTCGAACACACATTGCCCTCCCTACTTCCATAATTTCCCCATTCTCTGCCTTACCAGCTCCCCTACATGTACTCTACCGAGTCACTTGTCCTAGAGTTCAGGTGACTACAATATTACATTAAAATAGGCTGAGGCTGGGCGCAGTGGCTCACGTCTATAATGCCAGCACTTTGGGAGGCCGAGGTGAGAGGATTGCTTGAGCCCATGGGTTCAAACCAGCCTGGGCAACTTGGCAAGACCTCATCTCTACAATAAATCAAAAAATTAGCTGGACATGGTGGCACATGCCTGTAGTTCCAGCTACTTGGAAGGCTAAGACAGAAGGATCACTTGATCACCTGAGCCCAACAGGATGAGGTTGCAGAGGCTGGGGGCATGCCACTGCAATCCAGCCTGGGTGACAGAGTAAGACTGACTCAAAAAAGAACAAAAAATAGGCTGAGACTGATTGAGATCCTATATCCTCTCTATAATGTATACTATATATCTTAGTATATATACTATATGTTTTACAGATAAATTCTTTTTTTTAATTTAATTTAATTTTTTAATTTTTTTATTTTATTTTTTTTGAGTTAGAGTCTCACTCTGTCACCCAGACTGGAGTGCAGTGGCCGCTCCCGACCACCGCAGCCTCGACCTGCTGGGCTCCGGCGATCCTTCCACCTCAGCCTTCCGAGTAGCCGGAATTACAGGCATGCGCTACCACGCCCGGCTAATTTTTTGATTTATTGTAGAGATGAGGTCTCGTCAAGTTGCCCAGGCGGGTCTCGAATCCCCGGGCTCAGGCAATCCTCTCACCTCAGCCTCCCAAAGTGCTGGGATTACAGGCTGAGCCACCGAGCCCAGCGTAATTTTATTTTTTAATCGAAGTCTCACCCCTGTCACCCAGTCTGAAGTGTAGTGGCACAATTACCACAGCTATGAGAAATTCTTTTGACTTATGTTTTTAGGTTGTTCAAGTATACCTCCCTTAAATATATAAGAAAAAAATTCCTTATTTCCTTGAAATATACTTAATTAGTTCTATTTTATTTGTATGCTATTTTTTAATATTGTAAATTTTTTTAATGAAAATTTTTTTTATGTTTAGGAAGTGAAAGTACTTAATATTGATCAAAGAAATTTCAAATTACGGTCAATTGGGTAAGTTTTGAAACTCTTTTAAGTACCGACTTACGAAAGATGTTAAAGTTATATTCTTCACTGAATTCAGTGGGCAAGAAGACAGATGGAAATGTTAAGTTAGGCCGGGTGCAGTGGCTTAGCCTGTAATCCCAGCACTTCGGGAGGCTGATGCGAGAAGATTGCCTGAGCCTAGGAGTTTGAGACCAGCCTGGGCAACTTGGTAAGACCTCATCTCTACAATAAATCACAAAAACTAGCTAGGCATGGTGGCATGTGTCTGTAGTTCCAGCTACTTGGAAGGCTGAGGTGGAGGGATCATCTGAGCCCGGTAGGTTGAGGCTGCACTCTAGCCTGAGTGACCACGGCAAAGAGTGAGACTCTAAAAAAAAAAACAACCAAAAAAAAAGGTTAGAGGACCACTTGCATTCCAGTAGGGCTTGGCAGATTGAGCTTTGTGAGATACCTAGGAGTGAGGACTCACCTAAGCTTTGAAGGACCAGAAACTTACTGGAATAAGGTTCATTCTGGTTGTTAAGCCTGATTCGCAATTTGTTGATTTTTAGGGAGGAAAAAATATAAACATAGTTTCTAAGCGGCACAGCATAAAGCCCATATTGGTGCATGGGAAACACTGACACATCCTCACATCCTTCCTCATTGATCCTCATTTGTAGGCCTATTTAAATCAGTTCCTTTCATTAACAGATTATACTTTTCTTTCCAGAGTTTGCTGACACTTGATTAGCTTACTTTGATTGGACCTGTTGTTTCCCAGGTTTCTTCAGTCACTTATTTATTTATTTTCCTTTTTTGAGTTGTAGTTTCTGTCGCCCAGGCTGGAGTGCAGTAGCACACTCATGGCTACCACAGCCTTGACCTGCTGGGTTCAGGTGATTCTTCTGTTTCTGCCTTCCAAGTAGCTGGGACTAGAGGTGTGCACTACCATGCCCCTCTAATTTTTTCAACTATTGTAGAGATGAGGTCTTGCCAGGTTGCCTGAGCTGATCTTGAACCCCTGGGCTCCGGCAATCCTTTCACCTCCACCCCTCCAAATGCGGGGATTACAGGTGTAAGCCACTGCACCCAACTAGTCACTTAATTGTATCTTTTAGGTTATTTCTAGATATAGCTTATCTTTTCCATTCAATTTAATTAATTAATTTTTTTTTTTTTTTTGGAGGCAGGATCTTGCTATGTTGCCTGGGCTGAACTAGAACTCTTGGGCTCAAGTAATCCTCCTGCTTCAGCCTCTCAAGTAACTGGGGCTACAAGTGTGCACCATTACGACTGGCCCCCTTTTATATTGAATTTCATTAGCTTCTTTTTGTAAAGAGAAGTCTCTTATCTTTCTCGTCCTTTTTTTTAATAGGTAAGGAAATATGTGTGTCCAAAGGGGACTTAGCTAATAAATGGTTAAGCAGAATTTTGTTTTTTTGAGCAGAATTTTAAAACTTTGCTCTTTCTATTATACCTTGTTGTGATCTTCAGTCACGTTAGTGTCAAAAGGAAAGAGAAGACTCATCCCAAGTTATAATAGGAGACTACTTTTCTGGGGTCTTCTATGTACAGATCATAGACATTTTGGAAAAGTTGTAAAATGCAAATCAAGTTCAGACCATATTACAGAATAGTATTTTGCCTTTCTGGTACTCAAATCTGCTTTCTGCAATGGGAGATATTATTTAATTAGTTTCATAGTTCTGGGTACAGCAAAAAATTTGAACATGCTGCTCTTTTATGAAACAATATTGATGAAACAGTTTACTGAAAATCCACCATAAGCACACTATACAGAAGTACATTTATTTGGAGAGCAACTATCAGCCTTAAGACAAAACAGTGGCTATTGCACACAAATCCCTCAACAACTGTGTCTTCTGACAAATCCAAATAAAACTTACAACTCCCCTTTTCCCTTGTCACATTTAGCTTTCTAGTATCTTAACCACAATTATAAGGCTTATTTTTAAATATATGAAGAGAGAATACATGTTAAATCTTGGAAATTTTAATCGTGTTTTAATTTTCTTTCTCAAGGTGGGGAGAAGAATTTTCATTGTCCAAGCACCCTCAGGTATGTTTTAAAATTCTGTCATTAAAAACATTAAAACCAGCCGGGCTCGGTGGCTCAGCCTGTAATCCCGCGCTTTTGGGAGGCTGAGGTGA